TAGTGAGTGTGTTTGCCTGTTAGTGTGTGTGTCTGTTAGTGTGTCTGTGTGTGTTTGTTAGTGAGTGTGTGTTTGTCTGTTAGTGAGTGTGTGTGTCTATTAGTGAGTGTGTGTCTGTGAGTGAGTGTGAGTGTGTGTCTGTTAGTGAGTGTGAGTGTGTTTGTCTGTTAGTGAGTGTGTGTCTGTTAGTGTGTGTGTCTGTTAGCGAGTGTGTGTTTCTGTTAGCTAGTGTATGCGTATCTGTCAGTGAATGTGAGTGTGTGTATTTAGAAGGCGGGGCAGGGGGGAACAGTTGGGTGGGGGTTGGGGGGGGGAGGCACCTGAGTTTTGTCCTGCCTAGGGCAGCACAAAACCAGGATACACCACTGGCCATAGGTGGGGCATGGGGTTGGACACTAATCTGTCCACCTCTCAGTAATTAATTTAAAGCCCACATCCCATGCCCCACGGGGTGGCGCCTTTCTACAGATTTGGCAGAGCAAAGAGCATGTTTTTAATCGTCTTTTGGGTAGACAGCGCTGTTTGAAAGACAGACAGAGAGCTGGTTCTAAAAGCTCTCAAGCTCTCAAGCTCTCACAAGTGTGAGTAGGAGTTTGCAAACATATCTGATTATTGGTGTAAGTAAAATTACACTGCCTTGTATATTTTCTTTTTATTTTCATGCAAAAGTCCCAGTTAGTCCTGCAATGTAAATCATTGCAGTTTTTGAGAAACAGCTACTAGAGGAACTCTGAGTTCCTTAAATAGGTCTGCATGAGGACATCCAGCGTCAATTAAATCACAAAAGGATAGCAATGCTTTCCTATAGAGCGGTCCTAATGTGTTCACAGTGCTCGCCACACATGTGCATTAAGTGCCCCTGTCGCCTGACGTTGGAGGAGGCAGAGCGCCAAGGGACATTTGTGCTGAAATCGGGTATTTAAATATTAGGGGGAGGTGGGGGTCAGAGGGCACTATAGTGTTCCGAACACAGATTTGTATTCCTAACAATATAAAATCCCTTTAAAGTGATGGAGCAAATTAGAAACAGTGTTATTATATGCATGTTTTGGTTTGGTTTGGATAGATGATAGTGCTCCATTGTATGATATGAGCCTAATGTCCCCCCCCCTCCCCCCCCTGTGAAAAATGACACAGAGCACTCTGATTGGCTGGATTTCAAGCTAACCAATCAGAGTGCTCTGTGTCATTTTACACAGCATGGGAAAGTTCTTTGGAATTTTCCCACGCCGGGGGGAGGACATTAGGTCCAGTATTAGGTGCAGTATTGTTGTTACAGAAATGAAAAACCCTTCCATTGAGTTTATGTGGGTTTAGGAGCCAAGCTAATATTTTCTTTTTGAAAATAAGGATTAATAGACAAAAACTGCACTTAACATAGGTAACTGCAATTTACCCAACACATTGCACAAAACATATGCTCATGGAGTTGCTGTTTAACATAAATAGAGTGACATAAACTTGAAGATGACATAGTGCAGAGCAGTGCTTACTTAATATTGACTGTTATACTTTATTGACAAGGGACTTTTTAAATAATTACCAATGTGCTTAGTTGGCTTATCAATATTTATGCTTGGCAGGCTTTTTGCATAAACAAAATAAAAACCTAAGACACATAATTAATACTATATTTTACATTTGGAATTCCACTTGAAATAGCTGTCTCGATGGAACAAGATAACTTGGCGCAGTAGCATATGTCTAAATGTATTTTTTTGACAGTTCATGTTAAAATCGCCTTGTCTTGTGATGTCCGATGGCATTGTGAGACATTGTTGGGTGAGACAGAATCCTGAGAGATGCTAACACTTTGATAGCATGCTAAGCATATATCATTTCCAGCTAGGCCTAATATAATTAATCTGTGTTTTTTCCCTCTCTGCTATAAATAGAAAGACTGTGCTACTCCAACCAGTTCTATTCATAATTAATTAGAATGCGAGGGAGAGAGAAGGGGGAAAAAACACATAATTACAAGCTTCAAGTGAGAGCATTCATTATCATGCTAATGTACACTGTAGAATGGCAGCACCGTTGCTCCAATTATTTTGCAGTGATGTGTGCCACTATTACATCAAACCTAGTTCACTTGTGTGCCACTATTACATCAAACCTAGTTCACTAGGTCCTTAATGCAAGCATTAGATAAGTTAATCACAACGAAACATCATCTTAATGTTTTTGATAGTAGTAAAAAAAAACAACAACCTATGCATGCTTATACTTGGTTACCCTTGAAAAAATGGATTTGTGCAGCACAAATATTTAGGAATTCATTATTTATCCAGCTGTTTGTGGTTCTGTGTATTATTCTATATTTACCATGGTGAAACTATTATGTTTGCTTTAGAAATTTAGAGGTTTATTTTTTTAATACTCTCTGGTTGTAGCATTCAATGTGCCCAAACATCAGTACTATTTTACGTTGTTGTTGCTGTTGCAATTTAATTCAGGGGTGTTTCTGGGGCGTGGAGGGGCTCACATGGGCTGGAGATTGGAACACGTTAAACATTTGTTTGATAGTCCAGAGTCCCTTGTAATGATTAGAGAGAAATGTACAAATCCAATTACATAATTTGAGTAGTAAATTAAATGCATCATATTTTGGATTTAATTCATTTATAGATTTGATGTCACATTGTGACCATGTTAGGATTAACGGATTGACACATAGTTTATCAATCTCTGTGGGAATGGCCATATACCATAGCAACATCTCTGATGTAATACAGCTGCTTTCTGGGTGATACGGGCTATGTTACTCTATGTGCAGTGTTTGGTGGCTTTGTTACCTGTTGTGTGTCTGGCTTCATAGCCAGCTATGTAACAATGCATTTGCAAAGTATAGAAAATTCAGAGTCCAAGTGGATTAGTGTTGCGTACGCTACATGTCACATGTAATTCATTATAGCAATGTAAATTCAGCTTTTCTCATTAGGACGAATACATTTTTAGCTCCAAGCTCATGAAACCCAAAATCCAGCATTGAATGGCTGGTGGGAGCACGAATGCACAAAAATTGTAATAGAGGGTTGGAAGCCATTAAAATCAGATAATATTCTTTATGGCTCAGTGGGCTTAGGGGGCAACCAGCTGTGACCACAGCCATTTTAGTGCCTTTTCGTCAGCTTATTGTACAGTAGGCACAGGAAGCCAGTACAAATGGTGTCCCCAAATAAGATGTTTATGCAGTCACCCCATCCATTGACTGAACTACCTATCCCATTGGATGCCTAGTCATAAGACATGTCAGGCAGGGGTAATGCAAAGTGTCTGGCTTGTGCCATTCTGGAAGTGGAATTCTTTAGATATTTCACTCTCATTAATAGCTGACTTCTTGGTATTCCAGCTTTTTGGGGACTGCTGATCTCATAACGTTAACACAGCTATTGGTGGCTTTAGATAATCTGATATTATACTATAGGGTAATTTGACAGTGTAATATAATCTGTGGATATACTACTGTTGTCTGCTTTCCGCAGGATGCCATCAGTATGTCCCAAAGTGAATGCAATGCAACCAAGTGATTTCTGTTTAATTGCATGTGTAATATTTTCCTATAAATTATGTTACAGAAAATAAAACAATATACTACAGAATATGTACTCCAGTAAGGAATTAAAAGTGCAAATAATAGGAAATAGGTTAAGAAAAAAAAGCTAATGTGAAAAAAGTATTAGACAGTGGGAATTAAATAGTTGAATAATTCCAAATATGCAGGTTGTAGTTTGCAGGAAATATTAACCCAATGAGTACTTTGCAGTCCTGTACTAAAATAATATAAAGTAACGGGCACCGGAAGATATATTTCCCTAGAACCATAAAAGTCAAGGTATTTTCTACAGTAAGAATGTCTACTGTAGCCTATAGTGATAGATATTACTCACTCACTATCCTGAAATAAATGTATCGTTTAATAAATACAAATCCCTTTAGGGCATTCATATTTGCAGCCAGGCTTTTTTGATGGTGAAATGTGTTATGATAAAGATTTATGATTAAGTTAAAGAATGGTATAGCAAAATAATAAAATCTAAATTTTAGGACTTGAAAAGATGTGACTAGGCAGCCAAGTCAAAAGCCTTGTGTGAAAGAATCTCAGGCAGAGGTAATAGCTGTTATAGCCATGTAGATCCTCTTTATTAACCCCTTCAGGACGGAGTCAATAGTGCACGTTCTGATCAAAACAAAACGTAAACAAAAACTGGAATTTGCGCTATATGTCTGTTCAACCGTAATTCACCGCTGTCACATTAAGTGCACCCACACTTATTATATATCATTTTGTTCAGGAGAAACAGGGCTTTAATTTCATATCAAATATTTAGAGATGAAACATAATTTATTATGAATAAAATTAAAAAAACTGTGAGAAATTTAATTTTTTTTTTAAAAATGTATAGTTCCGCCTCACATTTTAGCTGTAAATGTCATAATACTGTTAGGTTTTACTGCAATAAATGCACATATTTGTAATCAGTGATGTCTCACGAGTACAACAGTACCCCCCATTAACAGGTTTTATGGTGTTTTGGAAAGTTACAGGGTCAAATATAGAACATTCCATTTTCAAATTGAAATTTGTCAGATTAGTAATGTTACCTCTGAGACGGTGTGGTAGCCCAGGAATGAGAATTACCCCCATAATGGCATACCATTTGAAAAAGTAGACAAGCCAAGGTATTGAAAGTGGGGTATGTTTAGTCTTTTTAGTAGCCACTTAGTCACAAAGACTGGCCAAAGTTAGCGTTCATATTTATTTTTGTGTGAAAAAAGCAAAAAACTAATATTTGGCCAGTGTTTGTGACTAAATGGCTACTAAGAAAGACTGGACATGCCCCACTTGCAATACCTCGGGTTGTCTACTTTTGCAAATGGTATGCCATCATGGGGGTAATTCTCATTCCTGGGCTACCATATGCTCTCAAAGGCAACATAACCAATCTGGCAAATTTCAATGTCAAAAAAATGAAATGCAAGCCTTATATGTGACTCTAACTTTCCAAAACACCATAAAACCCGTACATGGGGGGTACTGTTATTCTCGGGAGACTTCACTAAACACAAATATTAGTGTTTTAAAACAGTAAAACATATTACAACAATAATCTAGTCCATAAAAGTGCCGTTAGTTTGTAAAAAATGCAAAAAACGTAAATTTTACTTAAAATATCATCGTTGTGATACAATTTACCAGTTGAAAAAACAAATATATGAGTTCAGCGAAGTCTTCCGAGTAAAACAGTACCCACTATGTACAGGTTTTATGGTGTCTTGGAGAGTTACAGGGTCAAATATAGTGCTTGCGAATTAAATTCTCTGCACTTTCTCCCTGTGTTGTCAGGCATGTCAATCAAATTTTAATTAATCAAATCACACAATTATGTTAAAAGATTACTTAAATATCCCCACCTAACAAAGACTTTCAACCACGCTATAGCCCAGAAATCCCTTCCAAAAGAGATGCTATTGGCTCACATAATTACGCTGCCAAAGCCCAATAAACCACCCACGACGCCGAAAAATTTTCGGCCTATATCACTCCTAAATACAGACGCGAAGCTCTTTGCCAAACTATACGCCACGAGACTGGGACTAATCATACCACACATCATTCACAACGACCAGGTGGGATTTGTAAAAGGGAGACAGGGGTCAGACAACACAAGGAAGGCCATAAACCTGCTATACAAACTACAAACACAAAAAGAGGGGGGATTGTTCCTCTCTCTAGACGCCGAGAAGGCTTTTGACAGGCTACACTGGGGGTTTCTAAAAGCAGTCTTACGGAAGTTCGGAATACCGGACGAATTTGGAGCAGTGGTAGACGCATTATACAGCTCACCCGAAGCACGAGTGTTAAACTCGGGTTTCCTGTCGGAGCCGTTTCGGCTCACTAACGGAACGAGGCAAGGATGCCCATTATCGCCACTATTGTACATCCTGGCCCTAGAACCACTAGCCACGCAATTCAGGGAAAATAGCAATATACACGGGATACAAGTGGGGAAGAAGGAATACAAAGCAGGACTGTTTGCGGATGACATAATGCTGACAATCACGCAACCTCACATCTCACTACCAAACATTCTTACTGAAATAAAGGAGTACGGGGACCAATCTTACTATACATTGAACGTTACCAAAACTCAGGCCATGGGGATAGGGATGACACAAGCATCACTAGACAGGCTAAAAGATAACTTCCAATTCGACTGGAGGGAGGATTACATCACTTTTTTAGGTCTAAAACTGCCAAAACACCCTCACCAACTGATGCAACTAAATTACGGCAAACTCCTGAAGGAAAGCGAAGAAACACTGAAAAGTTGGGAACACAAATTTCTGTCTTGGGTGGGTAGGCTGACTGCCCTGAAAATGATCTTACTCCCCAAGTTCCAATACCTTATCAGAACACTGCAGATTTTCCTCCCAAACAAATACCTAACCAAACTGCAACGCATATACACATCATTTGTATGGGCACACAAGAAAATAAGAGTGGCGTCAACAATTCTGAGCAAACCCACCTCCCAAGGAGGCCTAGGCCTGCCAACCGTCCGGCTATATTATGAGGCCGCCCTCCTGTCCACTAGTCTTACTCTACACACAGGGAGCAACAAGCCCCAATGGGCAGAGATGGAGGCTGCAGGGATATACCCGGGGGGCATAAAATACGTATTCTGGGTACCTCACAAATTCTGTGAGTGTGTGTCTGTGAGTATGTATGTGTGTGTGTCAGTGTGTCTGTGAGTGTGTGTCTGTGAGTATGTGTGTGTGTCTGTGAGTATGTGTGTGTGTCTGTGTCTGTGTGTGTGTCTGTGTGTGTGTTTCTGTGAGTGTGTGTGTGTTTCTGTGAGTGTGTGTGTGTTTCTGTGAGTGTGTGTGTTTCTGTGAGTGTGTGTCTGTGAGTATGTATGTGTGTGTGAGTGTGTGTGTGAGTGTGTGTCTGTGAGTGTGTGAGTGTATGTGTGTGTCTGTGAGTATGTATGTGTGTGTGTCTGTCAGTGTGTGTGTGTGTACATATATATATATATATATATATATATATATATACATATACACACACACGCAGAGCCGGCGCTATCTGAGTGCCGGCTCTGCTCTAAGCCTTCATGGGCCGGCGGGGAGACCAAAGATCTACCTCACCGGCCCACAGCAGCATGGAGGGAGGCAGTAGAGGACCCAGGGAGCTCTAGACAGAAGCTCCGCCAGGTTCCTCTCGCGATATCTGAGCGTTGCTGCGGCAACGCTCAGATCTCGTGAGAGTTAACTATAGCCCCGCAGGCTAGAGGTCACTCTCCACTGGACCACCAGGGATGGCACATGGCAGCAAGGATTTACTAATCTGCCAAATCCCTCCAAACATACAGCACACACACATACAGCACCTACACACATACAGCTCACACACACACACACAGTACACTAACCGCACCCTCACAAACACACACAGCACCTTTAAAAAAACACAACACCCTCACACACAGCACACTAACAGCACCCTCACAAATAGCACCCTCACAGGACAAACATACACACACAAACAGCACAGTCACAAACACGCACCCTCACACACACATAACACTAACAGCACACAGCACACTAACAGCACACACAGCTGTGTGTGTGTGTTTATATATATATATATATATATATATATATATATAGAGAGAGAGAGAGAGAGAGAGAGAGAGAGAGATACATACACACGCGCGTGGCGTGTGTTTGTGCTTTAGGGTGCACACCCTAATGCAATTGGCTGCGCACGCCTATGCTGGTGACCTCTCCTCCCCCGCCGATGTCGGCTTCCGAGTGGAGCGGAATGCGCATGCGCGGCAAGAGTCACGTGCACATTCAAAAAGTCCATAGGAAAGCATTTCTCAATGCTTTCCTATGGACGTTCTGCACCCTGAATGCGATTTTCGCATCCAGCGTTGCAGAAGCGCCTCTAGCGGCTGTCAGGAAGACAGCCATTAGAGGCTGGATTAACTCTGCAATGTAAACATAGCAGTTTCTCTGAAACTGCTATGTTTTTCTTTCCATTTATAGTTTTTATTAATATTTTAACAAGATAGTACATACATCGTAGAGCATTGTTTTACAGAATAGTCTTAAATATTGTTATTTCGACATTTAGTACAGCAGTTGCGGTCAATAATAATTGAGAGCGTCCACTAGCCATTGTTATGCTCTTTGTAGAATGAATACAATATGAATTAAGTTAACTAACTGGGGAGTGGGAAAGGGTACAGAAAGGAAAGAGGGAGTAAAGGGGGGGGGGGGATGCCCTGGTCTATGTCCACATTGGGCTGTAGCTTGTTCGCCTTTCTGTGCACATCAGCTGTCCGATATCAGTTGTGGGGTCCCGTGTGTGTGCTGTGCCGTGGGGATGTTGTGTAATGTGTTTTGTGGGATGCCCTGTGAGATGTTACTGCTAGGTCGCCTGAGGTGTGAGCCAACTGGCCCAGTCTTTCTCATATTTCTCTATGCATCCGTTTGTTTTGCTAGCCATCCTCTCATATGCGCTTATTTGGTCCATTCTGGATCGTATATTGTCTATTGGGGGGATCTGTGTGCTCTTCCAACTGCCAGCCAGGGTTATTTTAGCTATCGTGAGGATGTTCAAGATTACCTTTTTATGGGGGTGTAGAGATAGTTCTGGGATGATATGAAGTATGAATTTTTCTGCATGTGGTGCAATGAGAAGCTGTGTCCTGTGAGAGATCATGGTCTGGACTTGGTTCCAGAATGTTTTAAGCTTGGTGCAGCTCTAGAATATGTGGAGCATCTTTCCAATGCCAGTGCCGCATCTCCAGCATAATTCCGAAGAGCCTGTGTACATCTTCGCCAGTCTGTGCGGCACTAAGTTCCACCTCATTGTTATTTTGCAGTAAGCCTCCCACAGCGAGAGACTGCGTGAGGCTTGTTTGGTTTGTGCTAATGCTGTATGCCATTCTGTTAAGGAGAACTGGTTACCCATGTCTCTTTCCCATTGTATCATATATTTCAGTTTATCTGGGTTTGCGTTTGTGAGGAGTTCATAGTAGCATAGAGCTAGTGGTTTGGCTGATTTGCCTAAGAGTATCTGGTGGGGTGTGATGGCCTTGGCAAAGGATTTGCCCGTGATGTTCTTGAAACAGTTCTGTATTACATTTTTAACCCTTAAGTAAAGGTAGGGGTCCCTAGGTTCCAGGTTTAGTTCTCTTTGAAGCTCGGGAAATGGTTTCCTCGCACCCTTCGCCTGCCATCTCCCTAGCTGCAATTCTGGGGAACTGGCTGCTAATGCTTTGATCGGGGCTTCTTTGAGGAGCTGTGTCGGATCCACAGTGAAGCGCCTTTTTATTCTGGGTTCGGGGAATGGAACTTGTCCATAAGTGATGACTCAGATTTTGTGTACCTAAGCATGCGCTTTCGAGTGGGGGCCAGAGTGGACAATGGGAGGGTTTGTGGATGCGTAATAGTCTTATCCCTTGTGCCAGAAGGGATGCCCTATAATAAGCTTTTATGTCCGGTAGACCCAGTCCCCCTTTTGTGTAGGTGAGCCCCATGCAGCCCTTAGCTACCCTGGGCGGCTTTTTTTTCCAGATGTGAGCGTTGATGCCGCTTTGAAATTGTTTAAGCAATGAGTTCGGGAGAGTTATGGGAAGGGTTCTGAAGAGGTAAAGTATATGTGGTTAATTCGGCCTAACCATGATACCTCCAGATTCTCCCAGTTCCTGAGTGTATTTTTAATTTTGCTGAGGATTGGGTAGTAGTTTTCTTTTGTTATGTTTTGAGTGTATTTAACTAGTTTCACTCCTAAGTATTGGAGGGAGGACGTGCTCCAGTCGAATGCGTGGCCGCTTTTTAATGCATCCAGAGTGGTACGTGGCAGGTTTATAGGCAGTGCTTGGGTTTTGGCTAGGTTGTTCTTATAATATGAGATTTTCCCATACCTCGTCAACGTTTCAAGGAGGGGGGGCATGGAGGACCCAGGGTTCGTGATGAACAGTAGAATGTCATCAGCGAAAATAGCTAGTTTTTTAGTTCCTCCCAGTGTAATTAGACCTTGTATGGATGCATCCTGTTTTATGCTTCTGATTAAGGGTTCTAAGCATAGAATGAAGATTAAGGGGGAAAGAGGACATCCCTGCCGGGTGCCATTGCGAATGTCGAATTGGCGGGAGATGAACCCAGTGCTAAAAACTTTAGCGGATGGGTGTTGGTATAGTGCCAGTATGCTTGATCTAAAAGCAGGTGGGAACCCCAACTGCGTTAGAGTGCGAGCCATATACCTCCAGTGTAGCCGATCAAAGGCCTTTTCGGCGTCTAATGCAAGTAGTAGTCCAGCTTGATGTGATTTGTTGGCCCATTCTATCAAATTTAGGAAGTGCCTGGTGTTATCTCCTACCTGCCTGCCCTCACGAAGCCTGCCTGTTCTTCTGAAACGAGGTCTGGGATGATGGGCTTGAGTCTGGACGCTATGAGTTTAGCATAGCGTTTGGTGTCTACGTTTAATAAGGAGATTGGGTGTAGGTTTGCGCAATGGGTGGGGGTTTTGTTAGGTTTTGGCAGTGTCACTAGATCCGTCTCCAGCATTTCTTTGGGCATGGATCCGCATTCTTTGATATGATTAAATAGTTTAGTGAGGGGCGCCGTTAATTGGTTTGCTAATTTGACATAGTAGCAGTTGGTGAGCCCGTCTGGGCCTGGGGCCTTTTGTTTGGGGAGAGATGTTATAGCTGCTGGGACTTCCTCTTCTGTGAAGGGACTTTCAAGGGAGGCGCACTGTGCCTGTGTCAGGCATGGTAGAGGCGTCTTCTCTAGGAAGGAGCTTATTTCCTCCTCATTTGGCTGGTGGGTGTTGGGGTCTGTCTCTAATTGGTATAGTGATGCGTAATAATTCGCCAATTCGTTCACTATGTCTTGGGGATTGTATAGCTTGTCCCCAAGAGGTTATGTAGGGGATTTTTGATTGTAATTTAGTCTGTTTTGCTTTCCTAGCTAGGAGTTTTCCCGCCTTTTTGCCTGTCACATAATAAACTTGTTTTAGAGATCTGTCTTTCTGTTGTTATTAGTTGTTATTAGTTGTAGGTTGTGTAAGGCCATTCGGATGGACATTTGTTTGTGTGTGGTTATCGTGGGTTTCTTTTTATGATTGGTTTCCACCTTGGCCAACTCCTGTGCCAGTTTTCCCATCTCAGATTGACGTGATCTCTTTACCCTAGCATCTAATTGGATGAGCAAACCCCTCATGACTACTTTATGGGCCAACCACTGAGTGGAAGTAGAAGTTTGACAATCTGTGTGATTGGAGAAGTATTCTTCCACGTGGGTCTTTATCTCTCGGAGTGACTTGGGATCATCTAATAGGCTGTCATTGAGACGCCAGGTGCCCCGTCCTCTAGCTGGGTATGGAATTCTGAGGCCCACTTTTTGAGGCGCATGATCGGACCACGTTAGTGGCCCGATCTGTACCTGGATTGCAAAGGGTAAGGTTTTGACATCGGTCAGACAAAGATCAATTCTGCTATATGTCATGTGTGCTGCTGAATAATATGTGAAGTCTCTCCCATTAGGGTAAAGGCTCCGCCATACGTCGTAGAGGTCGTGTTCGTGCATAAGCTTTCTGAGATGGGAACTGTCAGGGTACCTGTTGGTGCTGAATCCAGGGAAGACATCCTCTCTGTTTAGGGGCTCCCTGCCCCTAGCATTTTGGCATATTCCGGCCGTTTTCGCGCCGGCCGCGCTAGCTCCTCCCCCTTTTATGACGCGACGGCTAGCGTCGACGTCATGACGTCGGCATTTACATGAAGTGCCGGGAACCGCTATTCCGGACCTTTTGGGGGCGTGGTCCCTATTTAGGTAACAGGGTATTTAAAGGAAACCTTTACTACTGCTCATTGCCCTGTCGTGGTTCTAGCTTGCTAGTCACTCAGCGCGTTCTTTATCTTGTGTTTCTGGTTTTGACCCTTGCTTGTCTTTTGTCCTGTTGTCCTCTCCTCTCCTTTGACTCGGCTTGTATCTCGCTTACCTGTC